ACACACGTGTAGGAGGTTGCTGGCTTAACACRGACACTGAGCAAAACACACGTTCAGAGACACGAGAAGCAAAACAAGCATTATGCAACCAAGTCACTGAACACACTGCCTTTGCATACACACAAATGACAAGCAGAAGAAAAACCCATCTCTCCATCCCCCTGCCTTGCAAGAGAGCTTCTCCTCCAGCCACCTTGGCCTTCTGCTCGAGAAGACCTTTACTGTGGGCACCACGTCAAGGCAGAGAGAAAAGCCTGTCCTGGCACTGCAGGGAGGATGTGTCAGGTCTAGGATGGCCGCTTCCTGCAAGGCACCCGGGCACCAAAACCTCTGCCATCCTTCACAAGCAAAGAGGAGGCTGCCCCGCTGCAAATCACCAGTCAGCAGGGACAAGAGGCCAGCCCAGACCGCGATGAGGTTCTCCTCAAAGACCCAAGCTGCAGAGACAAGGCAAAACCAAAGAGTGAGCAACATCTGCCCTGTCTTCTGCTTCCCCTCCTTCTACATTGGGGAGGGGGAGAGCACTAAAAGATTTATCTACAAAGTGACTGCAACATATTTGCACAGTAGAAGGAACTCCAATGAAGACACAGTCTAATTCCAGTAGTCATCAAGGGGAGAATTCCTGGTTGTGGCTGCCTTTTCCCCAGGCATCCGCTGAGAAAGCATCACAGTCTACAATTTCAAATGCATGTGGTTTCCACGCTCATTTTACAACATGGACACTCATTACAAGAAAGGAAGAAAATAAAATGCAATTAATCCTTGATCTTTGCACACAAATCCTGAAAGAGAGAATTTCTGTACACCCTAGAGGCCATACAATTTGCAATTCTATAAAGAATTTTCAAATGCAGTAAGAAAATAAGGTGAGATTCTGTACGTGCTTCCTCTCAAGGATCACTTGAATTCATCCGAGCCAGGCTTTACACTTCATTTCAGGCTGCACATTTTTTTCCTATGTACATATGCTATTTCTAGCTTCCTTGCTCATCACTTACACAGACACTTTGTGTTTCCTTCACAATTCATGCACAAGCCCCCTGTGATTTTCTGTAACCGTCTCCTGCCTGACTCTGAACTTGAATATACTCTCACGTAGCAGCCAAACACTCTGTATTCCCTGGAGATAAAAAACAAGGAAAAGTAAAAAAAAAAAAAAAAAAAAAAAACAGTAAAAGGAATTTAATTATAAGCTGTTTAGCTGGGATTCGTAAAAAGCCATTGTTTATTCATTACAAAAATGGCATGACTCCTAAGAAGCAAATAGTTTAACAGTTCATTTGAAACTATCTATTCTCCATGCATATGGCTGTCGTACAGGGGGTCCTATTATATTAAATCCTATGAGTTCTTCTCTATTATTATCTTTTCAGCACCTGAATCAAATTAAATGGTCCCTAGTCTGATGCCCACCTAAAGGCAACGTACTATAACTTTAATTATAAATGTGCTTTATAAATCTCATATTCTGGTTGAAAGCCYCGGAGAACGTTAGCCTGGAGACCAACACTGACAAAGCCACTCTCTCCTAAAGCTACAGGAATTCCCTTGCTTGGAAGTGCTTGGAGAGTTTTTCCCACTTGTACTGTCAAAACTAACCTACCAGAGGAGCTGCAGACTAAATTTAGCCCCTCCAGGGTGGTATCCATCCATAACCTGGGCTTTTGGGCATCTCACGGCTACAGCAGGCGTGCAGAAAGCTCAGGGGACACTACACTTTGCTCGGCCTACTTAGCAAGGACAAAACCACATTCGAGACTCAAGAGGAAGACAAACGCTTTATGACTAAGCCAGCCTCTTCCTTTACTGCTTCTCATCCCAGCTCTTTCCTGGATCTGCCAACTGGGACACGGGCTGGCACTTCCTCAGCACGTACGCCATCAAAGCCCCCTCTCCCCAACAGGAGAAAAACAAGAACTAACAAGTTTAGGTAAGCTTCTGAGCTCTGAAGAAAGCCATGAGCACAGGCTGAATGTCAAACTACTGCTTAAGCTCAAAATGTGCAGAATTAGTGCTAGGCTGGGGGCAAAATGTAGGCATACAGGGGCTCCGGCAGTCGGGGACTGAACGCCAGGCACGCAAGGCAGGACAGTCATGGCCAGGTGGCTCATGGCTCCCAGAAGCAAAACCTTTGCTTTGCACCCAAACTTACCCTCCCTGCTTTTTTTTTTTTTTTTTTTGCAGGGGGGAGGGCTTTTTTTCAGCTTTTTCTCCTCTTTCGATTGCTCCTTATTGCAAGAAGTGAATACCAGCCGAATATTCATATGACAGCATGACAAATCTTGACGCATGTCTCTTGAAAAGAAGAAAACGCCCATGCAATTTTTTATTAGTTTGTAAAAATCCAGCTCCGGTGGCTCTGTAACTCACTGTTAACGCCGTGAAATGCTTCGCCGTGTGGCAGAGCTCCCCAGGTACCCCCTTCTCTTTGAAGCTTCTGAGAAGAGCTCGTGTTTTATGGGAACTCCTGCCAAGCTGCACGACGAGCGCCGATGCTTGGGGAGCAGCAGGAGGAACGAAGGGGCCGCTGGGGTCCGCGCTGCCCTCGCTCCGGGGCTGCCTCCGACTTGGCGGGCGGGCATTTGTGCTCCTCCTAGTTTCCATCTGGTAAACTACACTAAATAAACTACTTGTGCGTTAAATAAACTGCTGGAAGTTTACGTGGTAAATCACGCTAGACACGGAAGGATTCCCACAGTCTCTTGTTTTTCTGCTCTCACTACCTACAAGGATGCTCTGCAACAGAGATGAGCCAGGCAGGCTCAAAGGGAAAGGAGCTAGTCCAAGAGCCTGCTGTGCTCTGGTGGCTGGGACCATCTAAGAGAGCTCAGATTCAACAGTTCCAGCACTAAAGTCCTTCAGAGCACAGGAAGGGCTGTGCTCGCAGGCATAAACCTGCTTTATATAAGGAGGTATAAAAGCCCATCTGGGGATTGTAATGAACAGTCATGTAAAAGTAGTGATATGTAGGCATGAAGACTCAAGCCAAAGAGGGAAATTCAAATTTAGAGGTTTAACCCACTGGGATATGAATGTAAAAGCTTCAATGCTTTTATGCTAATTCAACAATAGCAATTAAGGCAATCCGGAAATTCTAAAGGAAGAAAAGATTTAATTTTACACAGGATGGGAGCAAGAACTCTAATGAAACAAGCTTTTTCCAGTTTTTCCCTTGTGGTATGTCCTACAATCCTCACTGGAGGTCACAGGAAGGAGTTGTATAAGAAGCTGCACAATAAAATGGGACAGTGAGTTGGTGATATTTTCCACAGTTCGGCCTGCCTGGCGAAAGCCTCTCATTAAGCATATTTAACTCATTGTATTCTGCATAATCAAAGCTTTTCTGTATCACCTCTTTGCTATTTTGGGAAAGTTGGGGTTTTTTAAGCCCACACACATTTAACTTGATGGAGGGTTAACTTCAAAAGCTTCCTTTCAACTGTTTTGGAGCGTATGAATAGCTATGTGGGAGCAAATCAATAACTTATCCTGTCTAGTACACTTCCTGCTTCAAACAATGGCACATGAGGGGCATTTTGGGAAGAAAATGTGTTTTCTTGTATCCTTGTATCCTTCACAAGTGTGCATACACACATACACACACMCCCCTTACATATACACAGTAATACACACACATGCCCCCCAAAGCCTGGATTTCCTCAATATACAATTTGTCAACAGCAAATAGGCAGGCTGTCTTCCAGAAACGTAAATACAACAACAGGTAGGAATAACATTTCCATTTCAAGATTAGTAGCTGTCAAAAAATTTATTTCCCATGTTCTGCTGTCATTAGTTACTCAGCAGATATCAGTTACTTACATGCATTTTAACCTGTACTTTGACAACCTCAATTTCATGATCACTGCATTTCTTTAAACATTTCAGACTGCTTCTGCAGATGAGATTGGTTTTGGTTTGTTTTTAATTTCAAAGAATAGATTATCGGGCTGTCATCCTCAATGATTTTCTCTACCTTTCAGGGAACATCTATGAGACAGAAAAATCACCAAGAACAGTAGGTAAACTCAAATATCTGTAGAAAAGACCCTATTAATTGTCCATTTCACCCGGACAATTAAATAGCTGAGAAGTGGTAAGAYGGCTTCAGTTCTATGCAATTAGAGCACTGTGGCTGTAAATAATATATTTCCACATGTCACTAGCGTCTGGGGCGAGTGATTTAGTTAGATCTCCTCCAAAACAAACATCTTCAATTTTAAAAGTCACAGTAGGAAATCCAAAAGAGTCACTCGCTCCCCTGGGGCAGCTGTGTTCTCAGTAAAGCATCAGCACAGATGTATCTGTGTCATTTCTAGTCATCATCTAGTTACAAAATCCTGTTGTTCCAGTTTCCACTTTGATTAACCAAACTGTCCAAAATATCCAAAGCATTACTGTTTTATAGAGTTCATTACTCAATTTACTTACAACAAGAGTTCTGTTGCATTTAAAGAGAAACAGGCAGATTTGCCTGGCAAAATTCTGCAACACCTTACATGCAAAATGTTGGCTTCCTAAATTTTACGTTTTTTTTTTTTTCACTTCACACAGTCATATTTTGGGTATTTTTGTGCAAACACCATCAGGAATTTGAAAACCCTTGCCAGGAATTAACAGGTGGAGATTTTTATTCACTTGCGTTTTCAGTATTCTGTCACATTTCAGCTACATTCACTTTCCCTCTGAAAGCCACCACCCTGGTGTGATTAAAACACAAAAGCCTTCCAGTATTTTCTTCTCTCGCTTAGCCTACCTTACTTCCATGTTTTCCTAGAATTCCTCCTATTACTTCCAGGTATCTTCTGCTACATTCACACTGTTCATTTCTTACACACCTTATCCTTCCACGATGAACACGAACACAAAACCATGTCCTTTGTTTGTACATACATTAATCCCTTTACTCAGTAACTGTCTTATGTCAAACCCCAAAGTTATCTATTTTCAGCAAGTCAGGCTTTTAAAGTGCTTTTAAAATRAACACACTTTCTTACCTGAACAGAGTTGTTCGACTTTTGTGTAGTTTAAAGCTAATATATCATTAACCCATGCGATGATGTCATGTCTGCTCATAGTCTCTTGGGTTATAGAGGTAGAGTACACGTTGACCGCCATTCCCCAACTAGGAAAGAAAAGAAAAAAAAAAACATTTTTGACATTCTGATAATTGTTTCCCTAATGCATCGAACGGAGACATCTTGTGCAAAGACAAGGGACAGAAAGAAAAGCTGCATCACCACAGAACCTCCTCTTCTGTGGAGGAAGGAGGCTCATTTTTAATTGTTCTATAAACTTCCATTACCCTCTTGGAGTGTATGAACATATTTCTCTTGCTGTTATTGTACACTTAAATAACAAAACAAGTCTACAGTAATCTCTACTGAAGTGGGAACAAAAAGAATCAAGCATAGAATAAAGATATAAAAACAAAAGAGACGTGGGATTGCCRTTTAATGCTGCAGCGCTTTGGCCTATCTACATCAGTTTTTGCAACTGCAAGATGATCACAGTCTCCAAATTAATATTTTAGTATCAGGTAACTTCTAGAAGATGAAGCTRTTCCACTGACTCAAACACTGAGTTCTTACAGCAGCAGGGGCTTTCTGCATCACCAGTTCAGTGCCCAGCAGTGACCCAGCAGGCCAGATGATAAACTTTCTTCAAGAACTTATCAACCTCCACCCTAAAAGTCAGTCAGATGTGGACCCCAACAGTCCAGTTAGAAGGCTGTTTCAGAACCCAGTTCCTTTAAATCGTTAGGAACATCTCCTATCAGCTTAAATCCATTTATTCTTCTGCCACCACTACCTGCAGTTCAAATGGCTTTTTCCTCCCCAGAGCCGACATCCTAATGTATTGAGAGATTGCAATTAGACTCTGCCACAACGCCCAGACAGGCTAGACTAAATAAATCAATTCTCTAGGTCTCTTACAAAGCCAGATCTTCTTTTATTGGTCCTCTTAGTAGTGTTTTTGAGCAGAGCTGAAGAGAATACAGCTCGTTGTTCAGACAACCTTTCACCAGGACCTGCTGTAGCAGCAGCTTGTGCTGCACCACATCACACAATCACAGGGTGGTTGAGGTTGGACCTTGAAAAGCTCCTAGTCCAACATCACTGCCCCCCGCTCRCCCAGCTCAAGTAGGGTCACTTAGAGAAGGCTTCCCAGGACCATGTCCTTTCCATTCCCATGATTTCCAGGGAATATCAAGTTTAATTTGTCCTTATTTTAATAATCTCCCTAGTTAACCAGAGTCCTTTTCAGCAAAATCTTATCACTCATAGCAGCACATATCACAGGTATCCAAAGGCATACACGTGAGATGCATACYACTGATTTTTACCCCATTTCTGTTATGCTCTGCTAGGCACAGCTTTCTGCTTGGAGACATTGCTAGGGAGGGAAGATGAGCACATTCCAGTTTACATCATCAGCAGTCCCAAAGAGCTCAGCCACGATGATTCATGAAAACAGTAAACAACAYTTCCAGGCCAATCCTTCAGGAAGCCCCCAAGTTAAAAGCAGAAGTGGCATCTTTCAGAAACGACCAAATAACCAACAAGATGTATCCTTATTCTTGAAAGGGAATGGTTTGGCTGGAACTTCACACTCCTGTCACTAGCAACACCTTGCAGATAACACGATTTGTTCCCACCTTGCAGGTAACACAATTTGTTCCCACCTTGCAGATAACAGAATTTATTCCCTGCAAAACCAGTCCTGCTTTATCAGCCCTGGAGCCCAATCTTCCCACTCAAGAAAAAGGGGCACAGACCCTTATCTGCRGGACTTGAGGCTTGCCTGGATTACTCCCTTTGAGGGTTTACAAAGATACAACTGTTTGAGGCTTCATAAACGATTCTGCAATTATGACTGCAAGTTCTCGCGATCCATTTTCAGGTAGGCTGGAACAACTGGGCTAAAAAGTGTTTAAAAAAAGTCTGAAATTGAGTCTGAAAACTCACTAACATGGAAGTGTATAAATACACACAGCAGAACAACACTCAAAACCCCAGAGGAAGCCCGTAACACAGGTCCCTTTTCAAAAGCAAATCTCAGAGGCACGGGAGGTGTTTAGGTCATCCCTGTGCGAAGGTCTCCGCGGTCCGAGCTCCCTGCAGGCTCCACGGCAGCGGGAGCAGCGGGAGCAGCGGGAGCAGCGGGAGCAGCGGGAGCAGCGGTGGGATCAGCAGCGGGAGCAGCGGGAGCAGGGCCCTGGAGCTGCTCTCCCGGCACACACTGAGCTTGGCACTGAGCAGGGCCCACGGCTTGGGAGTGGGGAGTGCCCTTTTACTCCTAAAACCACATTGTTATGGCTAATGAGGAAAGCTTCGCTTCCAGCCTTAGCTTTGAAGATAGACTGAACAGATAAACAGCACCTTTGTTACTGATGGTATCTTAAGCTTAAAACTTAACTCCTACCATGTTTATTTAGCATTTTTACCTTTTATAGACTGAAAAAAACAGTAGAAAGATATTAACATTTCTGCTATTAAAAATAATAAATATTGTTTATAAATACAAAGTTTAATAGTTAATTTAATACCCATTTAAGATTCGTTATAGTAAGTTTAATAGTGAACCGACAGCTCAGCATGGAACAGACCACTCATTCTGAAGAAGCCCAAATACTCAGATGACAACATTTGAAATAAAGCCACTCTCTTTTGGAATCACCAAATTGGCCTCCTTAGGCCAACCACCAGCGACCAGCAAGGAAAGCAGCAAGCAAACCCAGCTAGAAAGCTTAAGAAAATCTCCATGGAGGAAGGAAGCATCGCTCTCCTCCCAAAGCAGCGATGAAGAGAGAGGTGTCCTTGATCCCCGAGAGGAGGGCAAACGCACGCGGTGCAGCCCTGCATGGCACTGAGAACTGTGAAACAGCAGGAAACAGGCAAGAGAATGAACAATCCCAGGTTTAAAATAACACTGCAGATGTGCTTGAGCTGGTATTTACACTGGGGGTGCCATGGAAGGAGTGGTGGGGATCTATGGGGTCAAGGAAAAGCTTGGGATAGTTGTTGGGGGCAAGAGCCTCACATTTGTACCTGTACATTCACTTGGGGGTCTATCAAGAAAATGTGAAAGAAACTTTTGCAAAATCAGTGTTTATTTTAGTGGTTGATTCCACTTTGATTAGCCATGGCACAAGTTGTTATTTACAGGGACCTGCAGCTTCCACAGTCTCTTTTCCTAGCAGAAAAGAGACTTTCTTTTCCTTTGGTCCTTCTGCCCCCACCTTCCTGCGGTTACGTTTTGAACACACACAGTCAGGACAGGTTTCCTTTGCAGTAAGTGAGGTTTCCTTTACTGTAAGTGTGCTCTAATCTGGTGCTCAGATACACACGTATCCTGTTTGCCACACAGGCAGACCCTGGAAAAAACAAGAAGAGAACAACTGGAGAGAAGAGAGGAGCTCCCTGTGACAGGTTTGGATTCCAGTGCTTGAAACCCACGGCCGGGGCCAGCTTTTCCTCTAGGACTCAGTTCCCTGCATGTTGAACTACTACTGCAAACCTGATCTGGGTTCAAAGCCCGTCTTAATGAACGTCTGCAGGTGGTGCAAGGGAAGAGCTGGGCAGGTTCTTCCTACCTGCCCAGTGCAGTAATCACATTTCCATCCTCTTCTGCCTTCTCTTGTTTAGACTGCTGGCTCGCAAGCATCAGGGTGTCATGAGRCCTAACCCAAGCCTGAAGAACGGCCTCCACCTCACTGAGATGCTGAAGTTCCCTTCTTCCCCATGGATGTCTAGCAGCACAAGGAGCTTTTGGGACAGAAAACTGCATTTCCCAGCTCAGAGCACAAGGTGCAGACCTAAAGCCTCTAGCAATGCACTGCCACCTTAGTGCCTAGCCACGAAAGACTCTATTTTACTTGCAAGAAACTGAAATTAAATCCCCAATAAAACTGAACAAGCTACAGTGGAGTCTTTGCATGCTAGTTCAGGCCATTTCAGAAAATACTTTTACCCACGCACAGCTAAGCACCACAGACATGAGTTTACAGGATTAATTAGGAGCCCCAAACCATGTCCATGCTTAGGAAGCTTCCCAAATCAAAGCCGTACCAGCTCAGCATGTCCAGCGGTCAACTGCCCCCGCCAAAGGAGTATTAATTTATTAAGCTGTTACAATCAGCACAGAGTCCTCAGCCATCAGGCATTTCCATAATGGCAAGACTGGAGGGATTACAGCAAGGAATCYGCGTCCAGTGTTAATTACTGATCACGCAGGCAATCGCCTCTGAAATTAAAAAGTTTTCTTGTAACGTGGAATTAGGCAAGGTATGGACCTAAGTGTGGTCCTCAGGTCCACAGAAGATGTTCGTGTGACACAGAAAAAGAGAGCTGTCCCCTGATAGCACCAGGATACCAGGATTTTGGAACAAAACAAAAGCTCTCACAGCAAAAGCTGCTGAAGCAGAAGATATGACAAAAAGGCTGAGACGCAGCTGAGCGAGGCTGCCCTGGCTGCTGCTGCAAAGGGTTTCTTGGATGAGAGCTACTGCAAAGCAAAAAAACCCTGGGAGGAGAAACCCATGAGCGTCGGTGGCCGCAGCCCTGCAAAAGGGGAATTCACCCTTCAGAACAATCCCGAAGCAGTAGCTGATTTGCAGCTAGGCAGTGCCTGCTATTTTTACACTCATTACATCCACAGCCATTGGAGCCCACTTACTCTTGGAGCCGGCTTTGCTGAAGGGAGTCCTGAGGATAGAAAGATAATACTAAAAAATGACAGTACATTCTGTCAACGTGCTGTTCTTACCCTTCTTTTCGAGCTGTGGTGTGCTCCTGTAGCAAATGCAATTGCAAAAATCAGTTCCCTCAAGGCAGGCTGCTGCAACTGAAGTAATTTTTGTAGCAAATGCTCTATCCTAATCAGAAACCTCAGTTAAAGATGCATCAAAATGAGATATTGCCATGGAAATAAAGGAGAGAATAATGCTCCGGTTGTAATGRTGGGAGAAATTCCCACCTTTTAAAACGCTGTATGTCAAATCTCTTGTGCATTGTACGCCTTTTACTAACAACAYTGAATATTAAGGAAAAAAAAAACATTATTATTGATGTATCTCATTCAAATCAACTGCCATTTTAGCTTCACATCATGGATGCGACCCGA